AAAAAAAAAAAAAAATTGATACTATTCTTTTTCATATTACTGTAAATCTTTCTCCTTTTTTGTCCTCTAAAAAATAAAATGGAAACTATTTATGTTCTAAAAAATAAAAGGGAAAATGTGTGTACTCATTACTCAAGTTGGGACCTTCGCTGCCCACGAGCTGGGAATAATTTTTTTCCCGAATGTTTTCTTTTACACATTCTGTACTTTTATCTATTTGTTACTTTTCGCTTTAAAAGTTTTCTTTTTTATATGTGAATTATTTTGTTAAGTATTAAACCTGTACAAGTTCAAGATACAGTGTTGATAGCACTACTTATAGGGGTGTCAACGAGTCGAATCGAGCCACAAGTCAAAACATGAGGCATGGGCTTGGCTCGAGCAAAAATAATTTGGGCTTTTTTTGGCCCGAGCTGCTCGACCAAAAAACGAAAGCTCGACCCGAGCTTTCAGCTCGGGCCTTAGCGGGCCGTGCCGCTCTTTTTTTTTTTTTTTTGGTGATAAGTCTAATTTTTTTTTAAGAATTTAAAAGTCGTGAATTTAAAATCTAATTTAATTTTTTTTAATAAAGCTTGGCTTGACGGGCCGAAATGGCTCGTAACACGGGCCCACAAGTCGTCTAGGGTCGAGCCGATGCCCCAAATGGGGCTCGGGTCGAGCCTCAACTTGGTGGTCCCGAATACGAGCGGATTAGGCTCGGGCTTTTTCCGGACCTCCCAAGCCGACGAGCCTTTTTGACATGTCGAACTACATAATTGCAAACACTGCAATTTTTAGTCATGTCCAATTACAGAATGCCATATATGACATTATAAAATCTCTATACATTTAGCAAAGTTTGTTTGTTAGAAAAGTTAAGAAGCATAATCCAAGAGGAATATTGTCTTAATTAGGTGTTTCGCGCGTTTACTCGCTAACAATTAAAAATGAATCAGACGATTGTGTAAGGGACAAACCTCTTGGAACAAAGTCCCAAAAATGGGTGTTTATTGAATATGAAAATTACAGTTTGGA